AATAAGGTAGGTTTAAGCAAAAGAGTTTCATAATAGTAAGATTTTACTTACCACTGTTGTTAATGACATTGAAAGAAGCAGCCCAACAAACACCCCCTCAGAAGGATTACTACCACATAACTGTTGATATTTGATACTTTATTACTAAATGAAACCAAAAACAAAGTTAAAAAGTCAACAAAATCAGAAGGTTTTAGTCAAACATAGAGAGGCTGTAATTCCAAATATTAATAAATGACATTGATTGAACCACCTGCAAATTTACCATTTTGTCCCTATGAGATTCACTACTAAACACATTCTACAGTTTGTAAGCTAATATATATATATATATATATATATATATATATATATATATATATATATATATATATATATATACATGTGCGATTTCTTCGGTGCTTGGCAAAACGTCTCTAAAGTAGGCATTCTTTACGTCCTTTGTGCTCCCGTTGGTTCGTTTTCGAAGTCGATTTCGACCTAAAACACACAACATGCAAAACATGATATGAATTTGTGTTGTGTGTTTCTTTGAGGGTAGAAGAGTAATTTTACACATACCGTGCCGATAAGTGCGTAAGCTACAACCAAGGGAGGTGAAGCCAAGTAATTGGCTCTTGTTAGTGGGTGAACACGCAATTCAAAGTTTCTATTTCCAGAAAGCACAGCTACACCATACTGTAAGAGCAGCTCAATCATCCAAATATCTGCAGTTTCACAAGCAAGATGGAGGAGGGTGCACCCATGGAATTCCTCCATGCCAAGTCCTTGCACTTCACTGGTGCCTGCTACGGCTGCCATTGATGAGATTGAGATTGAATCACTACCCCCTGGGCCCGGGTCTTGCAACAGCATTGCCTTAGCAAGGGTTAGAGAAGAATTACAAAATCTTGCATGTAAATGTAGTTCATGTCTGCTTCAAAGTTGAAGTCAAGAGGTTAACAGTGTGATGAGCAACAGATTTCTCATCATGTACTCCGCTCCACCATGGTGATGATGAGAAGAAACCCAACGACTCAGCAGGCCATGACCGAGTTCAGAGCTATTCCTCTGACCAGATATTTGACTGCCAGAGCCCTGTTGTCGAAAATAAAAATATAGATATTTAATAAGTAAAGACTAAAGTAAAGTAAAGGAAGTTGAGTTACAGATGGTTTGAGGAGCACTTGGAAAGATATCCTTGGCGAATGGTTTGAACCTTGCCCTTTGAAGCAGACTGCATGATCACCTGCTCTCCCGATCAATTTGTCTTTTGTACTCTTGCATTCTTTCGTTCAGAGCTGCTTGCTCATAATTTGATCTCTCTTGAGATTGTTGACCATATGTCAACACCTGCCCAGTTTTTTTATATTAAAATTAAAATAAAACACAACATGCATTCTTCTTTTCTTTTCTGTATGTCTAATCTCTAAACTAAAATAAATACCAAACCTGATTTATATACGACTCCATCTGATGCAAAAGCTCATATCCCTACAACAAGAATAATTCAGATTTAGATTTTAGAAAGCTCCACAAACACACACTGCTGCGATCGAATTGAATTGTCTACCTGTTTGAGGTAACGAAGATGGGCATCCATCATACCGCTCACTGCTTCCAGAAATTCAAATCTCTTTTTTTCTTCAACATTAGAAAGTGTGGTAACCTAAATAACAAACCATGCAACAAGAATAATTCAGATAAATGATGCATGATTTCAATCGGTGTGTAGACATTTAAACAAATAGTTGGTGTACAACTGCAAATCACCAGAATTAGAGAAAGCTCTTGTACAAATCAAACCGAAGTACCCATAAAAGCTTTCAAAGACGTGGATTTTTTCACTAAAAATCGTAATTGTAAGGTGGGAATTTGAAAGAAATGATGAAAGAGTAGTGGGTATGAATATGATCGAAAATCTGCAACTTACAATGGATTTACTAGGTCTTTTTAGATATAATAAACAATTTTGACCTAGCTGCTAAAACATTATGAAGGGATTGTCACCCTTTTGTTTAGAGAAACAACCCAGGGTGTCTAGGAACCTCTTCATCCTTTTTACTATCTTTTACTTCTTTACCCTTTGTTTCACCTTTAACATCCTTCTCTTTTTTCACTTTCTCCTCCTTTAACTTCTCCTCAGTTTCCAATTTTTCATTACTGTCAGACTGGACAATAATACCCTTCGTTTTGGAACCCATTTTACCTTTCTTTTCATCTTTTTTCTGCTCAGGGGCAACACTTTGTTCCCAATAGTTACTTTTGATTTATCTACCACTTTATCTTTAGCAACAACCTTTTTTTTTCACAACCCTTTTTATTATTTTCTTTTTTACAGTTTTTTTCACACTTGTAAGACTTTCTGTATCTGCACTCTTTGGCTTGATTTCAGAACTCTCTTTCTCTTTGACAGGTGTCACTTCAGATTGTGTCCCTACATCTTCTTTCTTAACAGATTTCACCACATGAACCTTTTTTATAACTTTCTTTTTGTAAGAGTTTTCACAGTAGGAGTATTACCAGTTGACTCTTGACCTTAACCTTAACTTTGACTTTGACTTTGACCTGCAGTCTCTGTCTCTGTAGAAGTCTCTCCCACATTCTTGGAATCTAATAATGTATCAGTTTGTTTGGTTGTGTCTCCTGCTTTATCTTTTTTAACAACCTTCTTTTTTATAACTTTTCTGATAATTTTCTTTTTTCCACTACCAGTTTTCTTTTCTACAGAGTTATTCCCTTCGCCAGGTGTCTCAACCACATTTGTCTTCTCTATATCTACTGCATTAATATGAACTCCTACGTTTTAGGTTCTTTGACTTTATCTTTTGCCATTTCTTTTAGTTTTGATGCTGACTCATCAGATTCAGGCACTTTCTCTTTTTCTAATTTTGCATCCTTCTTCAGATCTTTGGGTGTCCCAGGTTCCTTATCTAAGCAGAATCAACAGAGTTATAAAAGGTAAACTTACAACATTTTTATAAAAATAAATAACTTTCAGGTATGATAATATCAATAAGTTAGTTACCTTTCAATCCTTCCTTCTTTCCTCGAGCTATCTATATAAACCAAAACATATGATGGAAGAAACAACTTTTAGTTTCAATATGTTAGTTTCATCTGTCCTTTTTTCTAATCTATTTTAAATATATATATATCTATATATATATATATATATATATATATATATATATATATGTATATATATATATATATGTAAAATATGAAGCAGTAACAGTATACCTCTCTTTTAAGAGCATATCGATGCTCTCTCTCAACAATAGCTTTCTTGTGTGAAAGCCATTGATCCCTCCATGCATATGTTGAAGGTAAACAATCTGATAAATCAGGAACATAGAGTACTGTGACCTCCTTATGGCTAAATATTCCATCTTTTTTAACTCGGTCATAATGAATCTGCAAAAATGGACATAATCAAATGATTAGATAACAAGAAAATCTAATTAATTAATTAGATAAACTCTCGAAACAATAACGGATTACCTCGAGGAAAGGATTCCAATGTTGGCAATTTTTCAAATCAAGTCCTGTGAGGTCTTTGGCATACCTACACAATATAAATCAATAAACTAGAAATCTGTAAAGGGGGGGGGGGAGGGAATATACAAGTTATCATGCAAAAACAAACCTAAGAGCAGTGTGAACAAGAGTGGATTTGTCAACAGAAGGATCATTGCCATCTGTGGTTTCCCACAAGCCTCCAATTGCCTTGAAAGTATTCCCATTTTTAAGAGAAAGCAAACCTAATCATGTTGCAAAAATGGGGAATTCAAGTCATTAATAAAATCTGAATCAAAGCGTTTTGACTGAGTCCACTCATTAATATAATCTGAATCAAATAAGCAAAAGAAATTACAAATTTTAATCTCAAATTCAAGTCAGAAATCTAGGAGAGAAAATATATACCTTTGCATTCCACCGAGTGTGCTCTGATTTTACAGGGTCGTCAACCATTGTTTTAATGGATGCCTCTTTCTGCTGAGTTTCTTGAAGAGTTGAGTTTTGTGCATACATTTTGGAACAAAGATAGATGTGAAAGAATGATGATATTCTTTTTGACTGTTTCTATCTACTTACAAGGTCTGGTAAATGAGAACCAATAGCAACAAGTAGGGATGAAGCATCCCTTTACCAATCAGCTTTTATTTCCTACATGGCATATTAAAAGATAGATGCCAAACAATATTATAAGCACTTCAAGATCTGGTTCAATACAAAAAGTTGATCAGCATCAATCAACAGAAAATTTAAGTTATTATACTTAAATGCAAATATCAACTAATTATTCAGTTTAATTTTCTTTTGAAAAGTTTCATGCAATTTAGATATCATAAGAAATCTTCAAAAAGATTAGGTACTCTATTTTATGAAACAGGTGCAAGCCAACTCTAAGTTTACAAGACCAGATTGTATATAAACAAATTTGCACAGTCAAGGGCATTTCAAACTTTGATTTTTTTTTCATATTAACAAAAATTGTTGGTTTACTATCACACCACAAGCACAACATTACAAATTGTAAAAATATATGGTAACACAGTTGTGTTTAAGTATCTTATGAAACATGGTTAAGTGTTTAGCTGATATAGGCAAAAGAATGTAAAAAATGCAATTAGGGCTATGAAAAAAAACGAATTAGGGCTAGAATAATCTGAATCAGGGGAACAGAAAGAGTCAAACGTTCAATCAAATACCTTATACACTTCAAATTGCCAACTCTAAGAAAACAATAAGATCAGTGCAATAGAGAGGCGCTTGGTGAAGCAGCGGAGATGAGTCTGATGAAGGAATTGGGGTATCGCTGGAAGAAGAGAGAGGAAGGTGGCATAGGGAAGGAATTGGGGGAACAAGGGAAGAGGCGAAGGACATATAATGGATTGCAGTTGACCTATAATAGGAAAATGGAGTTATCTTGACCAAAAATCACGATCCACTGGATGAATATGCTTCACCTTCTGCATGCCATATGTTTTTCTCTAACTTTTCATACGCACGCTCGTTCAATGGGTTTTGAAGAAGAAACAATCGTTTTGGGATATAGATGTTTTGATGGATGATGGATGCGGTGGGATACATGTTTTGAATCGATACCACAAGCCCTAATTTGAGAAGACGGTCTGATCTTAGGGTTTCAAAGGGGACAAAGGTTCGTAGATCGGAGATGTAGGATTCCGAGTCGAAGTCAGCGCTTAGGAATGAGGAAAGAGAAAGCACATAGAAAAAGTGTGTTTGTGTGTGTTTTCCGATAAGGGGCAACAAAAAAATCAGTTATGTTTCTCCTTTGTTCTCTCGGCTAGATAGAGATATCGACATCAAAGAGAGGATTTAGAGAGGAATTTACAGAATGCACGGAGAGAGGGGTGAAATAAGATCTAATGGTCATTGAACTCTCGGAATCAAGCCCTGTGACTTCTGATCAACACAAGGAGGCTTGTTGTGCGAGACAGATCACAAAGAAGATCTGATGTTCGTTAAACCTGACCTAGGGCTTGTAAACTTGAGCATCTATGGCGGTCTCCATCGAGGTAAGGTTAGCCCAAGCTTGCCGGCGAAAAGAGATGAGTCGAGATTGTTGGTAGATGAGGTGAGCCAAGGTAGAGAACATTGTAGAGAGCACTCCCATCTTTAAAAGAACCCTAGAATGATCCCTTTGATTTTTTTGATAAAATAAATAGTCTAGAGGCGCGTTCAAGAATTATAAAGCGACATACATACACGACACGCCTTTTATGATGGGTGTCCTCCGTGTTTTTATTTTTATTTTTTTCTGACACAAATTTTAGGGCACGTAAAAATGCGCGTCCAAAACCCTTCAAAATTTTGTAGAGATGACGTTATTTTGACGTCACACGCTTTTGCGTATTGTAAATTCGTGCGCGTCATAAATTGCACGTCATTAAAGGCCTTTTTTCTAGTAGTGCCTTTTGTACTGCCATGCCCTGTGTTTCTTCTTTAGCGGGGTGTGACAATGGTGTTAGGGTTAATTTTATTAGTTATTGTTATTCTTCAAATATGATGCAAAATATTATTTCATTTCATGCACTACTCAGACAAGGTTTTAGATATTCATTTGATAATGAAGTTGGTTCTATTTGTGCTTATCTTAATGGTGGATTTATGTTTGAAGCTTTACCTTGTAATGGTGTGTATAAAACTATAACTTGTGCTTATAACCTAGGTAATAGTGTGTTTCATATTGATTCATCTAATGACATGGACAAAGCATGTTTGTGGCATTGTCATCTTGGACACATAAACAAGAAACCCATTGCCCAACTCCAAAAGGATGGAGTGTTGGAATCAGTTGATCTTAGGACTGATGATGAATGTGAATCTTGTCTCTTAGGCAAGATGGGAAAATCACTTTTCCCTGGAACATGTGAAAAAGGTGAAGGATTGTTGGGCCTAATCCATACAGATGTGTATGGCCCATTCAGATTTGCGACATGAGATGCCAATTGACACTACGTGACATTTACAGATGATTATAACATATATGGTTATATCCACTTAATCAAACATAAATCGGAAACATTTGAAAAGTTCAAAGAGTTTAAGAACGAGGTTGAGAATCAATTAGACAAGAAGATAAAGATGCTCAAATCCGATAAAGGTGGTGAGTATCTTAGTATCGAGTTCCACGACTATCTTAAGGAATGTGGAGTCGTTTCACAATTGACTCCTCCCAGAATACCATAACTTAATGGTGTGGATGAGAGTTATAGTTGATAGGTGCACAATTAACTACATATTTAATGCATATTTCTAATACTTTTAGCTACAATTATGCTTAATATAGAACAAAAGATACTTAATATGTTTAAAATATGTTTTGTAGCGGTGAAGACTTGCTCAGGACAAAAAGGGAGCATATGAGGAGCTAAAAGCAGGAAACAGGAGTCAAAGAAAAAGAAGAAAAGAAGATGACTGAAGACCGCGTCGTGGTGGGATAACCATGACGTGCTGATTGGAATATTTGTGAGCCATATGCTGACTTAGCAGACACGGGAAAAACACGAGGACCACGTCGTGGTGGCGGTCAATCGCGACGTGTGGTTGGATTTCCACAATTATAAAATCTTGGACATTAGGTCAAAATCAGGGGGATGCATCCGGTTTTCAGAGGTTAGTTGTGACTAAGAACCCTTAGAAAACCATAAGAAGATCGAAATTAAAGTGAAGCTCAAGATTGAAGAATATTTAGAAGAAATTCAACATTGATCTAGTTATTTTGCTTATTAAACTTATGTCTGGCTTATATTACTTAGATTAAATGTCTTTTACTACTATAATGAGAGGCTAAATACATTTTGCCTCTGTTTGGTGAAGATGAAATTGATCCATATGAGTTGATTTCAATTATTCGATTATTATATTTGATTTTACTTGTGTTTGATATATATATATATATATATATATATATATATATATATATATATATATATATATATATATGTTTGATATATATATATATATATATATGTATGTATATATATATATATATATATATGTTTGATATATATATATATATATATATATATATATATATATATATATATATATATATATATATATGTCTGTTACTTGATCATATTAATTGCATGAATCTACATCTCAATTGTTTTTTTTATCATTAGATAATTAGAGTTACGAATAATTGCATCTTAGTTTAAGTAATTAAGGCTAGTAACTTAAAATGTGTTAGAGAGCATAATTAGTATTAATTTTTGCTTAGTTTCTTGAATTGATCATAGGAGAGTAACTAATATCATTCATAGTCTAATTTTTCTATTATCAATTTGGTATTTAACTTGTGCATGATCATTTCTTTGTCATTCATAAATCGGTTGGCCTAGATATTTAATCATAATATCAAGATAATTGGTAATCAATATAATCTATCCATAAGAAATCAACCATATGAGAAATTAAAATCGGATCTAGGAAAAAGTATTCTTTTAACTCTTCAAGTTACTTTGTTTTTGTTTTTTGCTTGCTTATTAAGTGATATTAAGTTAATCTGGTCTTGAAAAATCAATGAAAACCCCAAATCATAGTTGTTTCTTAGTTTAATTAGAAGTAGTTAGTTATTTCATTAAATTTTGTTCCCTGTGATCGACACTCGACTTACCTAAGCTATACTATAATTTGACTAGGTACACTGCCTATAGATGCATAGTTAGTAAGTTTTATTAGGGTATAAATTTAAAACTGATAGGTACTTATGTGCATATCAAAAGTGTTTGGCACCGTTGCCGAGGAATGGCATATTGATGAAGTGAAAGACATTGGAAACTATTTCAATGTTCCTAATGTGCTAAGAGAATCTGTGTTACTAAGGATGCTTCCAATCACATTTACCGGTGAAGCCAATGTTTGGTTGATGTCTCTTGCAACCGGATCCATTACCACATGGGCAAACCTTCGTGATGCTTTTATTGAGAAATTTAGCCCACCTTATAAAATGTCTAAGCTCAAAAAGAAGATAGCCAACTTTCAACAAGAGGTGGGAGAGTCCTTATATAATGCATGAGAGAGATACAACCCACGAGATGATGTCACAAGAGGAAAAGAAGATGGAGGGAATCAGAATTTGGCTGCAATCATAGCTAAATTAGATTATATGGATAGGTGAATGATAAAATTAGATCAATCCATTCATGCCATTAGTGTTGGGTGTGATAACTGTAGTGGTCCACATTTGACCAAGGATTGCGACTTAGATGAAAATGGGAACAAGGAAGCACAAGTGTTCTACTCAAGTGGTGACAAGTATGATGAAGATTGGAGAAAATCCAATAAGGAGTGGTTTCCATATGAATATTACAAGAAAAAAAAGGATGAGAAGTATAGATAAACATGTAGAGGTTTCTATCAAAAAGAGCAACCACCACCTGAAAAGAAGCTAGATTTTGAGTTGGTGCTTCATAGATTTATGGAAGCATTTGAAAAGAGACATGATACTACTGATGCCAATGAGAGGAATCATCAAGCTTCCATAAAAAGTATAGAGAGTCAACTTGGTCAGTTGACCACACTTTTTAATGAGAGGCTAACATAAAAAATTCAAGACCCAAAGTCGCAACCTTATCTCATGGCGATCTACACCAAAGAAGAGGTTCATTCTAAGCCAATAATGATCCATGAAGAAGCTATAATATAGCCCAAGTCATTTTTGGAACAAGAGAAGTCTGAGGAAAAAAGAGCAAAAAGTGAAGTGCACTCTGATGCTTCACCATGTCGTGGTAATATGGCCACGTCGTGGTCTTAATAGGATGAAAATTTTCACCTTTTCATTCATATCAGCCACCTTTTTCATTCCCATCCCAAGCAATCAAACATTCTCTGGAGCCTGAACAAAGGAAATTTATAGAACAAGTTCTTTCACTCTCGATTAACACCCTACTCCTCAAATCAATGGCAAAAATTCCAAAGTTTTCAAAAGATATGATGAGTAATAGGAAGGAGTTGGAAAAGGCCTCCAAAATAGTTCTTAATGAGTTGTGTTCAACCGTGATTATAAAAGGATTACCAATCAAGATAGGAGATCCAAACCAACTCACATTGCCTTGTGAATTTAGCAATTTGACTTCTATTAATTCTAGCTGATTCGGGGGCAAGCATTAACCTTATGTCATACTCTTTCTACCAAAATCTAGGATTACCAAAGCTCCAAGACACAAGGATGACCATTCTAATAGTGGATCACTCAACAACGTACCCATGAGGAATCATTGAAGACTTACTAGTGAAAGTGGGAAAATTTGTTTTTCCAATTGACTTTGTGGTTCTCGGCATGAAGGAGGATGGAGAACTTCCAATTATGTTAGGAAGACCATTTTTAAGTACCGTAAGAGCATTAGTTGACATCCACGACTCAAATCTCACACTTCGTGTGGAAGATGATGCTATTACTTTCAAGATGGGTCCTAAAGCGAATAATGAAACGCCAAGAGAAGAAGTGTCAAAGATGGATGCTATGGAATAAGATATTGATGAGCTATTTGCAATTAAAAAGATGATGGAAGAAGAGTTGAAAGTTTGGGTGGAGACTCATGATGAAAAAGTCAAACGTTTGAAACCAAGAGCCTCAATTCCTATGATATTTGAAGTAATTGCATTTACTACACCTAAGGTTCAAGAGGAAGAAGAAATTGATGAAGTGGAAGAGGATTTGTATGAAGAAGTGGAGATAATTGATGAATACATGGGTGGAGAATTGAAGGAGCTAACTTTGGTCAAGATGGAGGTAGATAAGTAAGGTCTTAAGGAAGATGACAAGAAGGTAAACAAGGCTAAGAAGAAAGGAAAAGAGGTAAAGCGCAAGAAAATATTAAGACAATGCCAACAAGAAGAATAAGGACAATTCGAAGAAGGCATACAAGAGAAGGGTTCAAGCTTACAAGCCAAAATTGAAGGAGCAAAAGGAGAAAATGGAGATCCCACTCCCAGCGACAACAATATAGTGTGGGAAGGAGTCAGACTCACAACTCCTAAAAAAGACGCACTTTTCAGGAGGCAAAACGTTGTTTTAGAGTTTCAATTTACATTTCCTTTTGATTGGTTTTTTGTTTTTTGTTTTCTTTTGATTTTAGTTTTTATTTTCTTTTTAATCTAACCAATTGATCAAGTGTTTTCTATAGTCTTT